ACGTTCCTGCTGTCTGCTTACAGCTGCTGCAAGGTGACGATGATGCCCATGCCACCTGCGGCACAGAGGCATGATGATGCGGAGATATATTATAGCTTGGATGGCTTGTCAAGCGTGCTGCACGTCAGCTGCAACGCCCCACATACGCTTCTGAGAAAAGAAAGGCCAGCTGTACAGCACATGAACCATTGGGATCAGATTGAATATTTAAGGGCAATCACAGACAGTTGACGCATAGGCAGGTACAGGCTTTGAGGGGCCCGGGAATGCGGGGAGTTGCTCGCGTAGTGGACGACCTCATGTTAAAGACCATGATGGTCAACATGGCGTCTCTTGTGGCTCTGCAGGCAACACAGCCCGCCAGCGCCAAGCTCACCGCAGATGCACAGGCCATTGACTCGGTTTTGATCTCGCTGCGAGCGTGGCTTGCCTGTCAGGGCACCCGCGACAGCGCCGATGTCGCCGGGTGTGGGCACCAGACGATCCCCTCCCAGGAGCCTGGGGGTCCTGGGGGGCTCCTTGCTATATACAGGCTGTGTCTAGTGAACCCACGGAGGAATTCGCAATTCCCAGCGTTTGTGAGATGCTTGCTGCAAGCAGTCTAAAGCACATAGGCAGCTCTGCGAGACAGGAAACAGGGCCTCTTTCCTAGTCCCCTGATTCCAAGTGGTGCTGGCGCATGGCAGACGCTTGCACATGGACGCTCAAGACAACTCAGCAGGCTTTCTTCAGTTTCTCAAGCTCAGTGCAAATCAGAGAAGTATGGCGAAACATCGCTGCACACACCGGATCTGCAACCCTGGAGCCTGACCAGACATGTATCTTGCCATCTGAGAAACTAGTTCGTCTTCACCCTGGTGACATAATTTACGCGTAACATCATCATGATGTGGTGTGGGCAACCGCTCAGCACGCGACAATAATGAGTCAGATGTGCTGTATCGTCAGCTAAGACTCAACGCCTCAGCTGCAGGACGCGGACGTCCGCACACTCGCCAGCTGGGATCTCACTGGGCCTGGGTCACTTCGGCCGAGATGGGGCGAGTATCACGATGCTTCCCGCACGAAAGTTCAATCCTTGCGAATTCCGATTGGTGCGCAACTTGGGACATGATCTTTGGGATGACTGTCTGGTTCCTGGGCTTCCAGATGCACACTCCAAGCATATTTTTCCCTGTGGCATGCGACTAGAGACGCGCGAGTTGCTGTGGGATGGCATTCACGGGTCGTGACGCGTGTGGTGGCATTGCGAAGGCCACCCAGTCCCAGCGAAGGCTGGTGCAGGCACGGGCTGGATTTGGGCAACTGAGAGTACCAACAATGTTGGGTACCAGAGTTGGACAAGAAAGGGCAGTTTTGGTTGCCCGTGTTTGTTCCAAAAGTGTGGAGCGGGTGCAGCTGGAAGTCCTTTCACTCCAACTTTGAACTCAGGCCTCATCAACAAATGGAACATTAAGAGCAAATCAGTGACGCACAAGTCACGTGGCTCTGGAATAGGTTTTGCTTTGTGTTTTCCACAGACTTTTCTTTCAGCACCGGAAAGGAGCCAACAGGAAAATAGCCGGACCGTGGGGCACTTGAGGCCTCCTCCGTGACGGCGCCTCCTGGCCAGATGATGCAGATGGGGTCGCAGGCCTGGAGCCAGGAGAATTGAGAGTTGACTCGATGTCTTCGGAACATGCCACCTCTTCCAAGTCCTCCGACATTGCAATCTCGAAAGTCAGGCTCCCTTGCAGCGGACTGCTAACCAGCGCGGGCAGGCGCAGTGCTTAAAGGCTTAGCATGAATGAGATGCCCCGTCCAGGGGGGCAGATTGCGACACAGTGGTGCCTATGGACTCGCCGAAATCTTGGGTGCTGCTGTGTGTCTTCTTCAGGCGACAAGCCCTGCGCTGCCAATGGGCCAGCAAAGCCCGTCCCAGACTGAGCATGGAGCGGCGAGTCGGACGTCACTTTTGACATGTCCGGATTTACTCCTGCTTTGTCGGCCTCGGTGTGCAAGAACTATGAACATGTTCTACCTATCTACTATTTTGTGGCTTGATTGGCCGTTTCGCATTTCGCTTGATCTTATTGCAAACCTCTTGGTGATCATGATTCAAACATGCCCTGGATTTCTGCGTGTGCTGCAACGCTTTCCTTCTTGGCACGTTAGTGCATTAAGGCACGGCACAGACATGACCTTGGGAACCTCTGTTGGTGACGCAAATCACAGGGCCTGTGACGAGTCTGCTTGGTCAGAGGCCAGCACCGCAGATGCCATTGCCCAGGAGGGGTTGAGTATGGCACAGCAAATTCCTGAGGTTAAGCAGCGAGTGCAAAAGGGACACCGTGCCTGTAGTGACAAAAATATGATGCCTCAGTGCACAGATTGAAATCTAGTCCTTTCTTCTGCATCCCTTCACAACAAGTTTTTGCTCCACTTGTTTTGCGCAGCTGAGAATCTCTGCCAAGAGCAGGATGCAGCAGCAGCAGCAGCAGCAGCAGCAGCAGCAGCAGCAGCAGCAGCAGCAGCAGCAGCAGCAGCAGCAGCAGCAGCAGCAGCAGCAGCAGCAGCAGCAAATGCAGCAGCAAATGCATCAGCAACAGCAGCAGATGCAGCAGCAGATGCATCAGCAGATGCAGCAGCAGATGCAGCAGCAGGGCCAACCGGGAGAGTCACAGCCTCAGCGGACCTGTCAAATGACCTGGTCGTGGGGGTGAATCGGGCTGGCCATCAATCCTCAACCTAACATTCAGGCAGCCATTGTGCACTGTAGCTCACGGGAGTTTTGACCACACTGTTGACAAGATTCTTTGCATGGGGCCAGTCAACGGCCGCTCGAAGCGAGATTGAATAGAGTTGAGGCCGCCGCCCATGCACTGCTCGCCTTCGCTTCCAAGCCAATGGCATCCGGATTTCGAGTTGGATCAGGCCGAGTCTTCCTTGCACTGTGAACGTGGGGTTCAATGGGCAGCAGATGTGATGCCTGGTGTTGAGTCTCACTTTGGAATTGGACCAACTTTGGTCAGGCGTTCATGCTTTGGGAATTGTCAAGCGTCCATGTGCCAGCAGCAGGCGCCTGTGTGCGGAGGAGGTGCCTTCGCACAAGTGCTGCGGGCCAAGGACTGATGCGCAGAAGAAGGGAGTGGCTGGGCATACTTTCAACAGGATCAGCCCACACCGCCAGATACATCGGGGTTGATCAGCAGGTCCTTTACATGGGACGACCATTTGGCAAACCACTCGAAACAGATTGCATTCGTGCCCATGATCATTTGGGGCCAGGAAGATTGATCAACTCCCACATCACATGGCTATTCAAACAGTTCAGTCCTTCTGACTGAGCAGACAAGACTGCGCAGCCTCGACGCGAGGAGAGGAAGACTGGCCGCGTTTGGGCCCGGCACCAGGAAATTCTAGACTCCACTAAGCTTCAATGTTTCAATCAATGTTGTCTCACCGGCTCAGCACCTGTCTTTGGTAGCTCACAGAAGCCAGATTTGACGAGACTGAAAGGCAGCCAGAGGTAGTCAGAGCTAGCTCGATGTAGGCAACCAGAGGTAGGCTCCTAAAGCTGGATGCGCGAGGGAACCTTCGCGGAGGTCCCAAGTAAACCCAGCAGATTCGATCGCCATGTCGTTGAGGCAGTAAAGGTGCTCAGCAAGCCGGCCTTCGCCTGCCGTGGCATCGAGGGGCAGATTTGCCGGGCTTCCTGGCGTTCCATTGGCATCACAAAGTGCATTGGCTCAATACAGGAGCTCCTCTTGCCATAGGCCTGTTTTTGAGGCATTCGCTACATGTCGTTGTGAGGAACCGCAACATCGCGGTTCACCCTGGAGACGCTCACACAACTCAGCGGAGAATCGGAGGTGGAAAAGGATTGGCAGCTTGCCAGTGACACTGGTAGCGGAGCTTTTGTTCCTGGGACTTTGGAGGAGGAACTTCACGGTGAAGGTCTTGAAGGTTGGCACTCACAGACATCCAGACGGGCCTTCGACTCCGTGGAGATGAGCGACACGCGCGACCTTGCGCGTGTCCAGTGGGACGGAGATCCTGCCGGATGGCAAGATTACGTCAGGAAGGCGCGCCTGGCCTGGGAACGCACGCGGAAGCGAAATCGGCGACACCTCGGACCTGAATTGGCTGCTCAGTTGAGTGGGAGAGCATGGATGAGCACCCAGGAGTTGGACCTGATGCAGCCCAACGGCGCCCGGTACTTGCTGGAGTACTTGGAGACTCACCTCGCCAAGGTCCGTGCCAGACGCCGGATCGAGAGCCGAGGAGTTGCTGGTGCGCCTCAGGCGTCCCCACGGCATGAGTATGGCGACGTGGTGCTCTTTGGTCAGGGAAGCACATCGCCAGCTTCAAAGCGCACTTAAGCGTGCTCGAGATGCAGGTCTGCCTACAACGAGCGAGAGCTTGCCCAGTTCCTCGCCCACGGCTGGTCGAGCGGCTCGCGGAGCAGGTGGGCTTTTGGAAAGAGCACAAGAAGATCCTGAGGAGGAAGATGATGAGGAGCCGGAGGAGGATGAGGCAGAGGATGATCTCGGCGGCTTCGGAGAAGTATTTCCTCTAAAGTCCGCAGTTAAGAAATCAAAGGGAAGGGGCGGAGAGCCCGGAGATCGAGATCGTCGTCCTCTTCCGAGGAGGTCGCCCAAGACATGACGTGGACCGACCTAGACGGCACTGCCTCCTGCTCTGCCAGATGAACTCTTGGGTTGGTTGATGCTGAGGAGGTCCTCACTCAGCGCAGCTCAGCGACTCAACGTCCTGGCCTCCATCGAGAACAGCCTCAAGACAGCAGACGTGGAAAGAGGTTTTCCAGCCATGGAAGACGAGCTACGCTACATGGACCGGGATGGAGGAAGCTCCAGGGGCAAAGGATGCGGTCGATCCTTCTGGGTGGAACAAGAAGGAAGCTGGGGCACCTTGCTGGCAGAGGAAGATCAGATGGACGAGTTCGTGAACATGGAGGAAGTCTCCATTCGGTAGAGGACTCTGTCCACGCCATGCCCCAGATGCAGTGCTCGACCTACTGGAACAAGGAGGACGGTTCCTACACATTCTGGACCCAGGATGAGCAGGACGGCAAGTACTACTACCAGGATGGTGCAGGAGCCTTCTGGGCCTGGAGCCTGCCTGGTGGTCAGCCTTGCCTGAGCAGCAGAAGGAACTCAGCGAGGCCTACGCAGCCCTGGACCACAAGATTCGCACCTTCCAGGAGTCTCGGCAACTGATGTCAGAGAAAGGCGCGAGCCGTGGCTTCTACCCGAAGGGCAAGGGCAAAGGCAAAGACAAGGGGAAGAAGAAAGGTCAGCCGGTCATGATGGCTCATCAAACCCCCGAACATGCCGGTCCTTCCCACGGTTCTTGCGGTCCAACCGGGCCCGGGTTACACTGGGTGCTTCATCTGTGAGAACCACAACCACGACTACCGCAACTACCTACACCCGGACGTATGAGAATGCAGAGTCCACCTACTCCATAAAGCCTGAGGCGGTTAAAGAGGAGTCCGAGGGCAAGAGCCCAAGCTGAAGCAGAGGACGAGCTACACGTTGGACGACGGCGGCCCCGCCTACTTGATGAACGGTTCAGACCATCAGGTCACCCTGACAGCAGTGGCTCACCCTGAGCTAGAAGGATTTGGAGTCCTTGGGGCGCCATCGCAATGGGCGCATTGGAGCATGCCAAGGCCAAGGAGTTCCGCTTCGGCAACGGCCTGACGCAGGTCAGTGAGAGCTACGTGCTCATCCCCAGACTCACCGTTTCTCCCTCAGTGTGTTCACTCTGGATGCACCTCGCGTACCCGCACCTTGGATCGCTTGAAGGTGATCCTGGACCCCCAGAAGAGCTTGATCATTATGTGTGCGGTGGACCCCATGATGGCGGTTCCGCTGATTCGCTCAACGTCAGGACACCTGCTCCTGGACCTGCGGGATGACTGGATGAAGTACTGCTACCTTCTGAATCAACCGTTGTGGGTTCTGCATCGACCACTCGGAGTACTGCGCGGAGTTGAAGCAGGTGGAGATTGATGAGACCAAGGAGGAGCTCACACCGGGCGAGCTGTCGCAGTGCCAGGCTCTTCTTGGAGCAGTTCAATGGCGAGCTCAACAGTCTCATCACAGTGCCAAATTGTCATGGCTCCAGAGTGCTGGGAAGCACGTGCTGGGAGGTCTATCAGCAACAAGGCCTTAGCGGTCACTGCAGATGACCTGTGATGGTTGCCTGGACAGCAGTCGGGAACCGGCTCGATATGACCAAGCGCAGGATGAGATGCAGCAGTTGCTGGAGAAGGGCCAGATCTGGAACGTCCGCTACGATCCGCAGTTCCTGGCGGCGAAGAAGAAGAAGGTGCAGCCGGGCATGTTCGACGAAGACTTCGTGCCCGAGGAGGACGCCAGCTGGCGAGACCTTTTGAGCCGCGAGCAAATTGCGGGTTTTGGCAAGCCTTCTTTGGGCATGTCAGTTTTTCCAGTTTGAGAGGCATGTGCATCAGCCTCCCTTGTGCATTTGCTTCCACTCCGCAATTGGCTGAATACAGGAGCTCCTTTTGCCATAGGCCTCATTTTGAGGCATTCGCTACATGTCGTTGCGAGGAACCGCAACATCGCGGTTCACCCTGGAGACGCTCAGACAACTGAGCGGAGAATCGGAGGTGGAAAAGGATTGGCAGCTTGCCAGTGATACTCGGTGCCCTCCTGGCACTCTAATTGGGAGTTGACACTTCGTAGGAGTGGAGGAGAGAGGGGCAGGTTCCGGAAGGAAGAGGGGTGGAAAGGCGTTGCGTGCTGTGAGGCCACCTTGGTTTCGTCGGTATCTGTTGGTGACAACATTTCCTCGACCTAATCTCAAAAACTGTTTTTTGCTTCCCCCCTGTGATTGCGTTGTTCCATAGAAAGTTTTCCGACTGACAAGCAACAAAGCATATTTAAGGGCTGCCGCCGCTGTTGACGACAATGGTTATTTGGCAAGCAGCCGCTTGCAATGCTGAGGCCTGTTATGTTGATCACAATGAAGATGATGACGACGACGACGACGATGATGATGATGATTCTGATGGTGACGATGGTCATGTCTGTGTAGCGTTCAGGTGGTCCCACCGGAATTCGATCCCACGACCTCTCGTGGGATACCCTTTCCCTGCTATTTGTTTGTTTCCTTTTTTCTCGGCATTGCAACTCTCTCACGTCATATCCGATTCCTATATAAAAGAATTTGCACGATTTTAGATTAATACAATGAGATCTTGAGATGAGATGAAGGTAAGTGCCGCTTGCAATGCTGAGGCTGCACCTCGCTCCGACTTTTCCATTTTTCATTTCCCCCCGACATGGCAACTCTCCAACGTGACATCCGAATCTGGAAAGTGCCTAACGTGACATCCGAATTGAGAAACACAAAATAGACAGATGAGGTCATGAGATGAAATGAAGGTAAGTACCGCATGCAGTGCTGAGACTGCGGCTCACTTGCTCTCTATCGTCACATCTCATTTTTTGTAAGAATGGCGAGTGCTTCACGTGACATCCGCATCTTATGCAAGAACATATAAGGTCATGAGATGAGATGAAGGCAACAAGTGCCGCCTGCAAGCTGAGGCTGCGGCTTGTTTGATAAAATACGTTATCAATAACGTAACAATAAGAGTTATGATATGAGTTAGCATCAAAATTACCGTCATGTACTTTATATGGGGGTGTTTCATGCACGTATTGTGTTTGTGTTTTTGCTGGAAAAACGATACGGGACGTCCAAAAAAACGATACCCCATTCAGCAAGTTGGCATTGGTTGCAAACACAAATGTATTGTTAGTTTGTGTGTTCTCCTAGAGCATGTGAGTGTTTATTTGCTTGGTCGAGACTTGCAACTAGGCCCTTCCTTTGCAAGGGTTGCAGGGCAGGGGGATCAAAAGGGAACTTCACACTTGGAGCACCAGCTGGCTTGTGACAAGACACGTGTGGCAAAAACAAGCTGTGTTTGAACGGGGCGAATGTTTCTAGCATGTGTCCACCACATTGCAGCATTAACTGCCGGCCAGGAAGAGGCATTACGAGTTGTAGTTGGGCAAACGTCTTTCTTCTAGCGTTTGCGTTTTTGAAGGGGATGTAAAAGTAGGAAGTTTAGAAGGGGTGCAACTGTAGTTCTCCGTTTGGCCAATGAAGTTTAGAAGGAGCTTGCGCAATACTGGAACTAAATGTGCGCGGAAAAAAAGCTACGAAAAATGCTAGAAAGCGCGGGAGCTGGAGGGTGGAGCGTCCATAGACGGAAACCAAGACCTCAGCTATGCATTCTGAGGATTGCCCTTTTGCTGGCCACGCAAGGTGCTTGGGAGGTTACCTTTCTTCGGCCGCAAGCAAACTGCAGGATTGCATTTTGCACTCTCCAGCGCTTCTCTGAGGATCCTTAGAGCGGAAGTAAGACAGTTGTCAAACAGCGCCGCTTCCAGAAAAAAAACGACCACCAAAACGATACCCCAAAACGATACCCCGACGATACCCCCGCAATGGGCCAGGATGCTAAATGTCGGGGGGTGGCCCACTTGACACCAAAGCGCTACCCCTGCAGTTACGAGGAGACACACATTTGGGGGTGGCTTGTGAAAGAACTGCAATGCTGGAGAGGGCAAGGATTGTAATGCCAGGAATTGCCAGGCAGCCTTGCAGCCGTGCAGCCACAAACCGGCGGTGCTGGGCTAACACAGGAAGAATCACGATGGGTTGAGGAGTGCGTGTTGAGGAGAAGTGGAAAGCTTTGACCCAGGAGGTGCAGCATGCTTGCATGGAGAGAGCTGCCTCGGCTCCAAAGGCTGAGCCGAACAGCGCGGAAAAGCAATTGTCAAGGTAATTGCGAAGAGTGCCCGCGAGAAGGTGAAGAAGACCACTGCAGTGAGGAAGCCAGCCTCTCAGCTCCAGCGCCGGCGGTGCTGCGGGCCTGAAACTGCCTCGAGACTGGGAGACAGCAAGGGGCGCACTTGCTGGACAAGGGCAGGACTTGAGGAGGCAACGATGAGAGCGTGGCAGACCCAGCAAGGGGGGAGAGCTGATTGAGAAGAGGTGCAAAGCTAGGCAAAAGCAGCGGCGCAACAGCCGTTGGAGGAGGACTCTGTGTCAAGTGCAAGTTCCTCCTCCTCAAGCTCTAACTCAATCTCTGAGGGGGACTAAAAGGAATCTGCGGCCCGTGGTGTGAGTTGCTTTGCTTGCAGGGATTGCGCTTTGGCCGCCGTGTGGTTTTATACCGGGGAACGCCCTCTTGTGGGAGCTTCCATTCCGTTGCTGTTACGTTGGCGCTGTCCCCGCAAAGAATCGTTTGGTAGCAAGCACGGAGGCAGGGATGTGTCCCGTATCCACGGCCTGCAAAACGATACGGGACGTCCTTTTTAAGCAAAACCTGTAAAACGATACGGGACGTCCTAACACCGAATGAATACACCCCAGACAAGTAATTTTGACGCTGTCTCATATAATAAAGATAAGAATGCACATGTTACTGGTCAGGCCTGGCGATTTCAAATGGGCTGATGATGATGATGATGATGATGATGATGATGACAACGACGACGACGACGACGATGATGATGATGATGATTCTCATGATGACGCTGGTCATGTTTGTGTAGCATGCACCCTTTCCATGCGCCTCCCCTTTGGAGAAAGGGGTCGGCGGATAATCGGTGACCTTGCATATATATATATATATATTATACATATTTATATATATATATATACACATGCGGGGCTATCTTTCTTCAAAAGGGATCTCCTTTTTGGTTGGTTTTAAGAGGAAACCACAAGGAAACCAGCAATTTTGGGGGCCCCTAAAGGAGACACAACCATACATACAAGTGTATATATATATATGCATATGTATAAGTATGTATATATATATATATATACATACGCACCAAAACCTTTGCGATTAGCTGGCGTCGAGTCGGGCCAGTTGGGTCAGTGGAATCATCGGCTTGATTTGTTGCTGATGTCGCTGCAGTTTGGTTGCTGTCTCAGGGGCCGAGCTTGCGGCCCTGCGACGCTGCGCAGAGGCAAGTTTCACCTGATGCAGTATTCAGGGGATGTATTTTCATTGGGGACTTGCTGAACATCATTTGGGTGGGGATTCATGTCCACCACACTTTTGAGGTCTTTCACTATCAAAAATCATAACCATCTTCATATCATTTCCCATTGCAGGATACGAAAGGTCGGGGGCGCCGAGTGGTTCAGATTGTGGACGCGGCGAGGGCCCTGGAGTTGCTACGATATTTACATACAGCGTTCCAAGGTCAGGCCCCCTTTTCGTGCCAACTTTTTGAAGACCACAATGGTTGAGCTGACGACAGACACTGAGGAAACAATGACACAATGAGGCTAGATATGTCCGCACGCACCAGACCGTTCCCCCTAGGCAGAGGAAGCGGGACTTGTGTATCTGAGGCAGGAGATGCAGCACCCTGCAAGCGTGCATGCTTGCTTGATCAATGATGTATAGATTGGCACCGGTTTTGACTCCTTCAAACAAATTACTCTTTGCTGATTTGCATGGCCTGGCCTGGGATGATTGCATTATCAATCCCAGCACAGTAGCTTTGTCAGACTCATTCAAAATTATGGGCATGCAAAGATCATCGGAAAGCCACTTTGTCAGCACCCTAAGCTACGTGGAGGGTGACTGTTGGCAGATTTATGAGCATCTAGTGTGCAACACCCGAATCAAACACATGTGCATGATGATGAAACGCCGGAAAGGGGGTTGGTCTTGGTGGTTGAATCAATCTTAGGGTGCGTGGTGTGTTTTGGTGAGTTGATTGCATGCGCAACTTTTCCAGGTGCATCTTGCACATCCGTGTTTCTCTGTATTCTGATACTGATAGTGTTCAGCGACCCAATTGGAACACATCGTTTCAAGTGTTTTCCTGAGCGATTCTCTACTTTCCAGGCTGGCACTTTGCACCTGCGATTTGCAGCAGGCGTGGGGATAGGTCGCCGTTGAATGGGCGTTGGTACGAAGCTGCACGCTGTGGTTGCATCGGCTGCAGGTCATGGACTGTCGTGGTGGTCGTTTAGATGAGGCCGGGTGCGGTGTATTCTGAGCTTGGTGCACAAAGCGGGTAATGCTCCATCTCTTGGGATTACGCTTGTGCCGTAGGGCATGAATACCTAGGCCGTGGATTTCCCACTTTTTGGCGTGTTTTTTGGTGGATATTCCCGCTTTTGACCCTCTAGTGCTCCTCTACTGCTCCTCTAGTGCGCCTCTAGTGCTCTTCTAGTGCTCTGGTAGTGATACTCTGGTGATACTCTTGTGCACCTCTAGGGATACTCTAGTACTTATGTAGTTGCTGCAGTCTTCCTCCAGTGCTCCTGTAATGCTCCTCGATAGTGATACTGTAGTGCTCCCCTAGTGATACTAAAGTGCAAATATTCTGCTCCTCTGGTGACATTCTAGTAATCCTCTAGTGCTCCTCTCGTGCTTCTGCAGCCTGTAGTGCTTCTCGAGTGCCTCTCTGATGACAGTTGTATTCTCCTCTAGTGATACTGTTCTGATCCTCCAGTACTCCTTCATTCACGGCTCCTCAAGTGCTCTTCCGGTGCTCTCTCGTGCTCCGGCACTGCTTCGCCAGTGCTCTCTTTCCGAAGTTTTGCTCTACTGCTCCTCCGAGGCTTCTCCAGCGCTCCTCGAGCATTCCTTCAGCGCAGCAGGCCACAACCTCTCAAAAAGCTACAAAAATACTAACTTGCAGTTGCTCCAGGGCTCATCTAGTCTAACTTGCAGTTGCTCCAGTGCTCATCTAGTGCTCCTCTAGTGATAGTCTAGTAATTCTCAGTGACCATCCTGCGCTCATCTAGCAAAACTCTAGTAATCCTCTAGCGTTCCTCTAGTGCTCCGCTAGTGATACTCTAGTGCTCCCCAAGTCATGCTCTAGTACTTCTTTAGTTACTGTAGTCTTCTTCCAGTGTTCCTCTAATGCTCCTCTAGTACTCTTCTAGTACTTCTCTAGTGCTCCCCAGTGATACTCAAGTGACAGTCTTCTGCTCCTCTACAGACCCTGTTGTGATCCTCTAGTGCTTGGCTAGTGCCGCGCTAGTGATCATCCAGTGATACTTTAGTAACAATGTAGTAATCCTCTAGCGCTCCTCTAGCGCTCCTCGAGTGATGCTCCAGTGCTACCCTAGTGATCCTCTAGTGACACTCTTGTGCTCCTCTAGTGACAGTTTTGTAATTCTATAGCTGTTGTTGTCTTCCTCCAGTGCTCCTCTAATGCTCCTCTAGTGATGCTGAAGTGCTCCTCTAGTCGTCCCATAGTGATGCTCTAGTGACAGTCTTCTGGTCCTTTTGTGACAGACTAGTGATTCTCTAGTGCTCTTTAAGTGCTCTTCCAGCTTCTAGTGCTCCTCAAGTGATGCTCTAATGCTCCTCCAACGCTCCTCCAGCGCTCCTCGAGCACTAGTTCAGCGCAGCTGGCCGCAACCTCTGAAAAAGCTACAAAGATCCTAACTTGCAGCCACCCCGAAGAAAAGCTTCTGCAGCGCTCCTCCAGTGATCCTAAGCACTCGTCTAGTGCTCCTCTAGTGCTCTTGACATCCTCATCCAATGATCCCATGGTGCTCCTTCAGTGCTCATCCAGCGCTGCTGATTACTGCTGTTCCAGCGTTCCTCTATTGCTCCTGCCTCTCTCGCTCTTGAAGCCTCTAGTGACACTCTTTTGCTCCTCTAGTGATCATGATACGCAAGTGATACTCTAGTGCTCGCCTACTAATGCTCTAGTAATTCTGTAGTTGCTGTAGTCTTCCCAGTGCTCCTCTAATGCTCCTCTAGTACTCCTCTAGTGCTCCTCCAGTGCTCCCCTAGTGATACTCAAGTGACAGTCTTTTGCTCATCTAGAGACACTCTAGTCATCCTCTAGTGCTTCTCTAGTGCTCCGCTTGTCATCCTCTTGTGATACTCTAGTAAGAATGTAGAAATCCTCTAGCGCTCCTCTAGTGCTCCTCTAGTGATGCTCTAGTGCTCCCCTAGTGATGCTCTAGTGACATTATTGTGCTCCTCTAGTGACACTTTAGTAATTCTATAGCTGCTGTAGTCTTCCTCTAGTGCTCCTCTAATGCTACTCTAGTGACAGTCTTCTGCTCCTCTAATTAGTGACACACTAGTGATCCTCTGGTGCTCTTCAAGTGCTCCTGCAGCCTCTAGTGCTCCTCAAGTGATGCTCTAATGGCAGTCTTATGATGTTCTAGTGATCCGCTAGTGATCCTCCAGCACGCTCTTTCCGAAGTTTTGCTCTACTGCTCCTGCAAGGCTCCTCCAGCGAGCATTCCTTCAGCGCAGCTGGCCGCAATCTCTCAAAAAGCTGCAACAATAACTTGCGGCCGCCCTCAAGCAAAAGCTTCTGCAGTGCTCCTCCAGTGATGGTAAGCACTTGTCAAGTGTTCCTCTAGCGCTCTCGACATTCTCACCCATGATCCCCTGATTCTCCTTCAGTGTTCATCTACCGCTGCTAATTACTGTAGTTCTCCTGTGCTGCTGTTCCAGGGTTCCTCTGTTGCTCCTGTCTTGCTTTTCAAGCCTCCAGTGCTTGTCTATTCTCTAGTGACACTCTGATGCTCCTCTAGTGATCCTCTAGTCATCCTCCAGTGCTCCTTTAGTGCTCCTCTAGTGCTCTTCCCGTGGTCTGTGCACTCCTGCGGTGCTGGAGTAGTGTTTCTCCAGAGTTGAGCCAGTGCTCCTCTAGTGCTCCTCTAGTGCTCTCTCGGTGCTCTTCTCCTGAAGCGCTGCTCCACTGCTCCTCCAAGGCTCCTCCGACTCTCCTCTAGTATTCCTTCAGTGCTGGTTTTGCGGCCACCCCGAAGAAAAGCTTCTACTCTCAGTGATCCACACTCGTTGAGTGCTCCTCTAGCGCTTCTCTAGTGATACTTCAGTGACAGTCTTCTGCTCCTCTAGTGATCCTCTAGTGATCCTCTAGTGATCTTCAGTGCTCCTCTAGTGCTCTTCTGGTGCTGCGTCATGCTCCTGCGGCATTACTCCGCCAGTGCTCTTTTTCTGAAGTTTTGCTCTACTGCTCCGCTCCTCCTGTGCTTATCTAGCACTGCCGCTCTAGTGCTGGTCTTTCAGCGCTCCTCTATTGCTCCTCTAGTGCCTATCTCGCTATTGACGCCTCTAGCGCTCCTCTAGTGCTCCTAAAGTGATTATGCTACTCTAGTGCTCCTCTCGTGATCCTCCAGCTCCAACCCGAAACCAAGCCTTAACCAACCCTAAACTAGCCACCTCAACCATGAGCCAACCCCCAACTCACCCTGACTAGCGCACTAGACAGCCCAAAACCACCAACCCAAGCCCAACCGACCCAAAACCCAGCCTCCAGCAGCTTTAAGCCAGCCCTAGACTAACCCTAAACAAGCACACCCCAAACCAACCCTGACCCAGCCCCGAGCCAAGCCTAAACATGGCGCACCTCAAACCAACCCAAGCCAACCCCAAACCCTAAACCTGCCCCAAACCAGCCCCAAACCAAGCCTAAGCCAGCCCTAAGCCAACCGTAAGCCCCTAAGACTTGTCTAGTGCTCCTCGGGTGCTCGCCCAATCACCCGCTGGTGTAAGCCAGCGCAAGGCGGCGCCAGAAACCAACCCTAAACCAGCCCTGAACCAAGCGAATCCTGGACCAAGCCTCCACCGCCCCCACCCAGCCCTGCATCAGCAGCCATAAGCCAACCCAAAGCCTGCCCTAAACCAGCCCCGCACCAAGCCTAAGCCAGCCCCAAACCAACCCTAAACCAAGCCTGAGCCAACCTTAAACCAACCCTAAAACCAGCCCTAAGCCACAAGCCAGCCCTAAGCCCCAAGCCAGCCCGAAACCGGCCCCACACCGCCCCTAAACCAGCCCTAAACCAAGCCTGTGGAGCACTAGAGGTAGAGGAGCGCTGGAGGGTCAAAAGCGGGGATATCCACCAAAAAACCGCCAAAAGCGGGAAATGCACGGACAAGGGTTTTAAGCCTGAGCCTACATAGCCCCAAAGACTTCAAGATTGAGGCTGCGCGTTGGGAAGATGGCCAGATGTTGCGCAGGCAGAAACGCGCTACTATGCAGCGCAGCTGATGGAGGGTCTTCAGGACTGCACCCGGAAACGAAACCCCGTCAGCAAATCAAGCGGAGGATGGCATAGCGTACATCGGACCAAGCAACAACACATCACCAATCATCATCGTCATCATCGTGACGACACGTGCTTGTTTTGGGTTTGGGAATGCTTCGCCTGCTCAAGGACCTCCACTCGCTGAACATTCTACATCGGGACCGGCGCTGGGCAAGGGGGCCGTGAGAACTGAAGTGCAACTTGCTTAGTAGGCTGGCTGAACTTCTGGCGATAGCCGTTTGCTCCACATATTGTCATGTCGAGAACCCCTTCCAGCATCCACACCCACCCCCCCCACCCACACCCCACCCACGCACACACACCCACACCCACACCCACACCCACACGTGCACGGGCACGCACACACACACAGACACACACACACACACAGACAGACAGACACACAGACACACAGACACACCAACGCACGGACACACGGACACACCGACACACGGCCACACGGACACACGGACACAGGGACGCACGGACACGCGGACGCGCGGACACGCGGACACGCGGACACGCAGACACACAGACACACAGACACACAGACACACGCACAGAGACACACGCAGACACACGCAGACACACGCAGACACACGCAGACACACACACACAGACACACAGACACGCACAGACACACACACACACACAGACCCACAGACACACAGACACACGGACATACGGACACACGGACACACGGACACACGGACACACAGACACACAGACACACCGACACGCGGGCACACGGACACACGGACACAGACGGACACGCGGACACACGGACACGCGGACACGCAGACACGCGGACACGCAGACACACAAACACACAGACACACAGATTCACACAGACACACACACAGACGCACACAGACACACACAGACACACAGACACACACACAGACACCCACAGACACCCAAAGACACACAGAAACAGACAGACGCACACACACAGACACAGACACACACACAGACACACGCAGACACACGCAGACACACGCAGACACACGCAGACACACGCAGACACACGCAGAAAGACGCAGACACACGCAGACACACGCAGACACACACAGACACACGCACAGACACACGCAGACACACACACAGATACACACAGACACATACAGACACACACACACACAGACACACAGACACACAGACACACCAACGCACGGACACACGGACACACGGACACACGGACACACCGACGCACGGACACACGGACACACGGACACACGGACGCACGGACGCGCGGACACGCGGACACGCGGACACGCGGCCACGCAGACACACAGACACGCAGACACACAGACACACAGACACACACAACCACACAGAGACACACGCAGACACACACAGACACACGCAGACACACACGCAGACACACACAGACACACACACACAGACACGCACAGACACACACACACACAGACCCACAGACACACAGACACACACAAACACACGCAAACACACACAAACACACACACACAAACGCACGCACAAACACACACACACACACAAGCACACACACAAGCACACAAGCACACAAACACACAAACACACAAACACACAAGCACACAAACACACAAGCACACAAACACACAAACACACAAACACACAAACACACAAATACACAAACACACAATCACACAATCACACAAACACACAAACACACAAACACACAAGCACACAAGCACACAAACACACAAACACACGAACACACACACACACAAACACACAAACACACAAACACACCAACACACAAACACACAAACACACAAACACAAACCCACAAACGCACAAACACACAAATGCACAACTGGACAAGGGCACAAACGCACAAACACACACACAAACGCACAAACGCACAAACACACCAAGACACAAACACACAAACACACAAACACAAACACACAAACACACACAAATGCACAACTGCACAAACGCACAAACACGCACAAACGCACAAACGCACAAAGGCACAAACGCAGAAGCGCACAAATGCACAAACGCACAAACGCGCACACGCGCACACGCACAAACACACAAACACGCAAACACACAAACACAGAAACACAGAAACAAAAACGCACAAACGCACATTTGCACAAACGCACAAACACACAAGCGCACAAGTGCACAAGCGCACAAGCGCACAAGCGCACAAGCGCACAAGCGCACAGGCGCACAAGCGCACAAGCGCAAAGCGCACAAGCGCACAAGCGCACAAGCGCACAAACGCACAAACGCACAAACGCACATCCGCACAAACGCACAACACACACAAACACACAAACACACAAACACACAAACACACAAACACACAAGCACACAAACACACATTACACAAACACACAAACACACAAACACACAAACACACCAACACACAAACACA